AGTTTAAAGTTTTTGATATTTATTTTAAAATTTTATACTCAATAAATTAGTATTTTTAATTTTTAATTTTAGTTTCTAATTGTTAATTTTGATTGAAAAAAATTTAGAAACCCAAAATAAAATTAAATATTTATATAAATTAATTAAGTTTAAAGTTTTTGGTATTTATTTCAAAATTTTATACTCAATAAATTAGTAATTTTAATTTTCAATTTTAGTTTCTAATTGTTAATTTTGATTGTTTAAAGTTTGAAAACTAAAACTAAAAACTAAAAACAACAACTATACTAAATTAAGAATTAGATTTGGATAACAACAAATATACTCCTCCTACAACTGCCATTTCTTCTTTACTATCTTTAAAACAAAATCCCTCAAACAAAATATATATCAAATCATATATCATGGTGTGTTTATCTTTTTTGAAAAACCTATCAATTATTGCCTTTTAACTGATATAATTAATATAGATAGTTTTTCACTGAGATCCCAAAGCCTCTCAGCAATAGAGGATATCTGCCAAGAGCCGGAGGGAACGTGGCAGTTTAGTTTCAACAAGTAATTTGGGGCATAGGTCATGTAATGTGGGCGAAAATTTACGCCATTCTCTAATTTTGCATGGCAAAATAACTATAGTAATGTAATAGTAGAATCTAATTCCTTGTTAAATGAACAAAAGGTCAACTATATATGGTATAACCTGTTTATATATGGAAATTTAATCAACAAATCTAGATCCTTTCTTGAAAAAAAAAGTACTATAAATTGTGACATGTATCTTGAGAAGTCAACAAACATGCATATGCCATAGCTTCATAGCTCTACCACTTAGGTATGAGTTAGTTTTTATTATTATTATTATTTTTTTTTCTATTTTGAACTACAAAAATAAATTTATTTGAAACCATGGAGTACAAGTTTTCTATCCAGAGTGGTTATCTCGTCCCAAGACTCCTCAAATATGCGATTAAGAGGGAGAAGACAAATTTTTTATCCAATCCTGCAGTCCAAACACACCCTTAAAGAATGACATTCTTTTGTCAAATCATCATGTTCAAACAATACTAAAAGTATACGTAATAAAATTAAAGGACTTACAAGATTTTTTTAAACATGAAAACAAAAACAGCATTCAAATCTGCTGGTGTTTGCCAAACCACGAGTCTTGAATCGTTATGTATCCATGCAAGATTTACAACCATTTCTATATTTCTCGATATTAATGAAACAATAATAGAAACTCATCATAGCATTTAATATTATTTCAATAAAAGACAAAACTTCTCCTCTACCCCTCTTATATTATTATTTTTTGTATTCAACGGTTTCTAATATTTCTAATATTTTTCCTCCAGGCCGGATCAATAACTTGCATAATTCAAAACTGACGTAAAACCTCAAAAGGTTAACAGACATGTCGAGTGCCTCTGACGTGGACGTTAAATTCCGTTAGTGGTTGATGACTTGTCAAGCTTCTTTGACTCGGATAAACTTTATCTGAGGTGGCTTTTTTTATTGACGTGGCACATGGGTCCCATATCTGGAATTTCGTTATGGTCCCTAGATTTATCAAATTTTCAATAAGATTGGTCCTTTTACATGTAAATTTTAAACTAATAACCCACCTCAAAAGAAAACAAACTTTACCCATGTGACTATGTGAGTGCATTGATCTTGTCATCTTCCCAAGCTTATTGGTTTGAAAAATCAAAGTAAATTTGTTTGAAATGCATGACTGGGTTTACTTGTTAAAGATCTGTTTTAAAACCACAACATGACTTGAGGCAAAACTAAAAGGTTAAATACCTTTTTTTGGTCCCTCTACTATAGGAAAAGCCCCTTTTTGGTCCATATACCGAAAAAATCCCTTTTTTGGTCTTTACTGTTCACAAATCCGACCCCTTTTTGATCCTTCCGTTAATTTTTGCTTATGTGGCACGTTAACTTAACTGGAACAGCTGACGTGGGTATGCTAATGCGTAAAATATGCTTACGTAGACTCCACATCACCCTCCACGTCACCCCACTTCCTCCAGCCTTTTTTTTTTTTTTGTCTTTTTTTCCTTTTACCTCCAAGCAAACCTAGCTCGCGGGTTTGTGATGAACCCAGGCGCCTGGGTTCATCGCGAACCTAGGATGAACCCAGCTCACGCGACTAGGTTCACGACTGGGTTGGCAATGAACCCAGCTCGCGCCTGGGTTCGCGACATACCCAGGCGCAAGCTAGGTTCTCAATCTTTGTAAAGTCGCAAACTCAGGCGCGAGCTGGGTTCTCAATCCCTGCCAAAAAAAAGAAAGCATGTTCTTCTCAAATAAACAGCTCTAGAAACATCCAACAACAGAATCGGAAATGAACCCAAGAGTAGCAAAAATTTTAGGAAATTGAAAATTGAGGATCTGAAATTCTAGCACTCAATGTCAATGGCCTAAACGGGAAAATCAAACCGATCACATCCATCCTTCGATCACTTGGATGAGATGAAAAGCACATTATTAAATTCCAAACAATTAGCAGTAACTAGAAAATTTCACTACAATTACAATGTCATTATCATTCCAAACCAAATCCATCCATATCGAAACCAATCAACTACTACGTCCTCCCCACTAATCTAGAACACGAGCTCACAAAAAAATGAAAGACATGAGAACGAACAGAGAAGAGGAAAGTGGGACTGACCAGAGCAACAAAGGAGACAAGGGCATAAGCAGCACAAAGAGCGTAGAAGATACCGCTTGGGTTCATCATGAACCTAGGAACTCACGACGAACCCAAGCGTCTAGGTTCATCACGAACCCGTGAGCTGGGTTCCTCGCGAACCCAGGCGCTTGGGTTCATTGCGAACCCGTGAGCTGGGTTCCTCGCGAACCCAGGCTCTTGGGTTC